GGAAAAAACAATTCAAAAACAGGAAGACAGCTTAAGAGAACTCTGGGACAATTGGAAATGTAATAATATTTGCATCATAGGAGTCCCTGAAGAAGAAAATGAGGAAGGTTAGAAAATATATTTGAAGAAATAGTGACAGAAAACTTCCCTAATTTGGTGAAGGAAGAAGGCATGCAAGTTCAAGAAGCATGGAGAGCCCCAAGTACGAAGAATCCAAACAGGCCCACGCCAAGACACATAGTAATTAAAATGTCAAAGATTAAAGATAAAGAGACAATCCTAAAGGCAGCAAGAGATAAGCAAGAGGTTACCTACAAAGGAACCCCCATAAGGCTCTCAGCTGACTTCTCAACAGAAACACTACAGGCCAGAAGGGAATGGCATGAGGTAATTAAGGCCATGAAAAACAAGGATCTCAATCCAAGACTACCCAGCAAGGCTATCATTCAAAATAGAAGATCAAATAAAGAGCTTCCCCAAAACAACAACAACAAAAAATCAGGCTAAGGGAATACATTAGCACCAAACCAGCACTGCAAGAAATGTTAAAAGGACTGCTATAATTATTAGAAAAAATAGGAAGAAAAATACAACCAACTAAATAAAAAAATGGCAATAAATAAGTACATATCAATAATCACCTTAAATGTAAATGAACTGAATGCTGTGATAAAAAGACACAGAGTAGCTGATTGGATAAGAAAACATGACTCATCTATATGTTGTTTACAAGAGACCCACCTCACAGCCAAAAGACTCACAAAGGTTGAAAGTGAAGGGATGGAAAAAAGTCTTCCAGGCAAAATGAAAGGAAAAAAAAGCTGGGGTAGCAATACTCACATATGATTGATTAGATTTAAAAATGAAGGCCATAACTAGAGATAAAGAAGGCCACTACTTAATATTGAAAGGATCTATCCAACAGGAAGATATAACCTTGGTAAACATATATGCACCCAATATAGGAGCACCAAAATATATTAAAAATCTTCTGGAGGACTTCCAAGGAGAAATCGACAGCAATACAATCATAGCAGGGGACTTCAACACCCTACTTACATTACTGGATAGATATTTTAGACAAAAAATTAACAAGGAAACAGAGACTCTAAATGAAGCACCAGACCAAATGGATTTAATAGGTATCTATAGAGAATTACACTCCAAAACGACAGAATTCACATTCTTCTCAAGTGTACATGGGACATTCTCAAAGATAGACCACATGTTAGGACACAAAGCAAGCCCCTACAAGTTGAAGAAGACTGAAATCATATCAAGCATCTTCTCAGATTACAATGTCATGAAACTAGAAATCAATTGCAACAAGAACATGCAAAGACATTTGAACACATGGAGGCTAAATAGCATGTTATCAAACAATGGGTTACCGAGGAGATCAAAAAAGAAATTAAAAACTTCCTGGCAATGAAAATGAACATACAACAACACAAAAATCTATGGGATGCAGGAAAAGCAGTTCTGAGAGGCAAGTACATTGCACTACAGTTCTACTTCAAGAAACCAGAAAAGTCTCTCATAGACTATCTAACCTCACAACTTAAAGAACTAGAAAGCAAACAAAAAGAAATCCCCAGAGCAAGTAGAGGAAGGAAATAGCCTAAATAAATGACATAGAAACCAAAAAAACAATTAAAAGGATCAATGAAACAAAGGTCTGGTTTTTTGAAAAGATGAACAAGATTAATGGACACTTATCTAGACTCACAGAGAACTCAAATACAGAAAATCAGAAACTAAAGAGGAGAAGTAACAACTGACACCACAGAAATACAAAGGATCGTTAACAACTTCTATGAACAATTATATGGCAACAAATTCGACAATCTAAGTGAAATGGACAAATTTCTAGAAACACATAGTCTCCCACAACTGGACTGGGAAGAGATAGAAAACTTGAACAGACCAATAACAACTAAGGAAATTGAAGAGGTAATCAAGACTCCCAGAAAACAAAAGCCCAGGCCCAGATGGCTTCACAGGGGAGTTTTACCAAACATTCAAAAAAGGACTAACACCCATTCTCCTCAAACTATTTCAAAAAATTCAAGATGAAGGAAGACTTCCAAACTCGTTTTATGAGGCCAGCATAATTCTAATTCCAAAACCAGAAAAAGACACCACAAAGTAAGAAATCTACAGGCCAATATCCCTGATAAACATAGATGCCAAAATCCTGAACAAAATACTAGAAATTGGATCCAGCAATACATCAAAAAATTATTCACTATGACCAAGTGGGATTCATTCCAGGGATGCAAGGCTGGTACAATATGACCAAACCAATAAATGTGATACGCCACATAACTAAAATGAAGAATAAAAACCAGATGATCATATCAATAGATGCTGAAAAAGCGTTTGACAAAATCCAGCATCCATTTCTGATAAAAACACTCAGTAATGTGGGAATAGAGGGATCATATCTCGACATAATAAAGGCCATATATGAAAGACCTACAGCCAACATCATACTCAATGGGCAGAAACTAAAATCATTTTCATTAAGAACAAGAACAAGACACGGATGTCCATTTTCACCGCTCTTATTTAACATAATACTGGAAGTCTTAGCCACAGCAATCAGACATGAGGAAAAAATAAAAGGGATCCAAATTGGAAAGGTGGAAGTGAAACTGTCATTATTTGCAGATGACATGATATTATACAGAGAAAACCCTAAAGACTCCATCAAAAATCTACTAGACTTACTAAATGAATTTGGCAAAGTAGCAGGATACAAAATTAATGTCAAGAAATAACGGCATTCTTATACACCAATGATGAACTCATACAATGAGAAAGTGAAAAAAACAATCCCATTTACCATCATGGCAAAAAAATTAAGATACCTAGGAATAAACTTAACCAAAGAATAAAGGACCTATTTGCAGAAAACTACAGGACGTTGAAAAAGAAATAGGGGAAGATATAAAAAAGTGGAAGCACATACCTTGTTCATGGATTGGAAGAATTAACATCATTAAAATGTCCATATTACCCAAAGCAATGTATAGATTCAATGCAACCCCCATCAAAATACCAATGACATATTTCATAGAACTAGAACGAATACTTCAAAAGTTCATATGGAACCAAAAATGTCCCTGAATAGCCACAGCAATTTTGAAAAAGAAGGACAAAGTAGGTGGAATCACAATACCAGATATCAGGTTATACTACAAAGCTACTGTAATCAAAACAGCCTGGTGTTACAGGCACAAGAACAGGCATATAGACCAGTGGAACAGAACAGAGAACCCAGAAATGGACCCAAGACACTATGCTCAATTAATATTTGACAAAGGTGGTAAGAGCATTCAGTGGAGTAAAGACAGCCTCTTTAATAAATGGTGTTAGGAAAATTGGACAGCTACATGCAAAAAATTAAACTAGACCATCAACTTAAACCATACACAACAATAAACTCAAAATGGATAAAAGACTTAAATGTGACCCGTGAATCCATAAAAATTCTGGAAGAAAATGTAGGCAACAAAATTTCAGACATCATATGCAGTAGAATTTTCACTGATACATCACCTAAAGCAACAGAAACAAAGGAAAAAATAAAAACATGGGATTACATCTAACTCAAACGCTTCTGCACAGCAAAAGAAACAACCATCAAAATGGAAAGGCAACCCACTGTATAGGAGAACATCATTGCCAATGATATATCAGATAAGGGGTTAATTTCCAATATATATAGAGTGCTCATACAACGCAACAAAAGGAAGACAAAGAACCCAATTAAAAATGGGCAGAGGAGCTGAATGGACACCTCTCCAGACAGGACATACAAATGGCCAAGAGACATATGAAGAAATGCTCAACATCACTAATCATCAGAGAGATGCAAATTAAAACAACAATGAGGTATCACCTCTCACCTGTCAGAATGGCCGCCATCAACAAATCATCAAACAAGAAGTGTTGGCGAGGGTGTGGAGAAAAGGGGACTCTAGTACACTGCTGGTGGGAATGCAGACTGGTGCAGCCACTATGGAAAACACTATGGTGTTACCTCAAAAAATTAAAATTGATGTTCCATTTGATCCAGTGATCCCACTTCGAGGAATATATCCTAAAAAGCCTGAAACACCAATCTAAAAGAATGTATGAACCCCCATGTCATAGCAGCACTATTTACAATAGCTAGGATGTGGAAGCAGCCCAAGTGTCCATCATTAGATGAATGGATAAAAACCTGTGGTACATATACACAATGGAGTACTACTATGCAGCTGTAAGAAAGAAAGATCTCTTATCCTTTGAGACGTCATGGAGAAACCTGGAAAGTATTATCCTTAGCAAAACAAGCCAGGCAGAGAAAGACAAATATCACATGATCTCACTTATTTGTGGAATATAATGAACATAACAGTCTGAAGAATTGGGTAGACCCAAAGAAGGTGATTTTTGGTTACTTTTAAGATTTTAGTGGTATCTTAATATAATTTTTAACGAAACCATGTATTAGAAGCCTATACATAAGTTTTGAATGATATAAAACAGAAGGTAAATAGAAATAGTGAATTGAAAATACTGAAAAAAATAGAGTCAAATTGATATATATCAGGATCTATATTTGCATTTTATACTTACATCTTTAAATTTGAAAACTGCACAGAAGAATTAGGTATTATTATTCCCTTATGATAGAAGGAAAACATGGGAGGTTGAGGTTTTCATAACCTATAGTAAGTACTTACTTCACCTAGAGGCCACTATTTTATTTATAGACGTTCTCAACTTAAAAAAACAACACAAACAGGGACATCTGTTATACTTTTTAAAATAATTTAAAAAATAAAAAATAAAGAGAAAATAAAATAAATAAATGTTGTGACCCTTAAGAAAAATAAACAAAAACCAAACACACATAGTAATATTTACCATAATGTACAAGCACAAAGTTAGAGGAGAGGTCAGCAGGTCTCAAAGTATTTCTTTCATGAAGAAAATATGGTACTTACTTTGTAAAAGAAATTTGTTCTCCCCACGGCTCCAATTTTCCCAGTGTGATTCATAAAACAAATGTTTCCTTCGGTGGCTCCATAAAACTCACACATCTTAATATTTCCAAATCTGTCTAAAAATTCTCTCCATACATCACTCCGAACACCATTTCCAACTGCCAAACGCACCTGATGGTCCTTTTCTCCTTCTCTCTGTCAGAAGAAAATATTTTGCTTGTAATTTATTAATTCTAGTTCCCAATTCTTTCTTTCACTACTTTACTTAAATGGTAATTATCTAGAAGTTATATATGTGCAATCATGGAAGGAAAGTAAAACAAAAAAAATCATGTAAGTCTGCTGCAGAACCGTGTCCAACAGCTAATGAAACTAACCTGGCCCAGAGTAATACAGCTTTATTTCCCCATATGTGGTATAAGATCTTTCTAAATTCCAGCTTATTGAAGCCTTATTTTGGTAGAGATCAGGTAAGGAAGCACGCATATTTCATGGGAAAAAAGTATTACTTTAAAAAATTATAAAATATACTTGTTTGTACTCTTAGCTCTATTATTTTTTGTGTATATAACTTGGAACAAAAGGTTAAATACTATTCTGATTCTCAGTTTATTCATCCGCAAAAACTGATAGTACCTATCTCACCTATATACTACATTGTACAGGTAAGCCCAGTGTCTAAAAAGGTAAACAGTAAACTGAGGTCCTAACCACTGTAGTATTTGGCTTGCAAATACTATGACTTCTACTTGTAATTATTACTTTTTTTTTGAATCTTCACCTGAGGATATTTTTTTTCTAGTTATCATCAGATAGAGTGCGAGGGAGGGAGACAGAGGAAGAAAGAGAGAGGAACATTGACATGAGAGGGACACACCGATTGGTTGTCTCCCACACGACCCAACCAGGGCTGGGGACGGACGAACCACAACCGAGGTATGTGCCCTAAACTGGAAATAAACCCACAATTTATTGGTCTGTGGGCCAACACTCTAACCACTGAGCCAAACCAGCCAGGGCAACTATTACATTTTTGAATTCGCAATGTTCTCATATTTTTACTTCTAGATCATATTTTGGAATTAAAAGAAAAACTAGAACTATATTTTATTCTATATTCAATAGATACTATGTTAATATAAATTACGCACTGGTCAAAAATCATAAACTCAGACCTGTTAGAATGACAAAAGACAAGAAATAACAAGTGTTAGAGAGGACACGAAGAAAAGGGAACCCTTGTACACTGCTGGTGGGATTGCCATAGTGGGTTGCAAGCACTATGGAAAACAGTGTGGTTTCCTCAAAAAAAATTTAAATACAGAACTGCCAAATGATCCAGCAATTCTACTTCTGGGTATTCATCTGAGAAAATGAAAACACTCATTTGAAAAGACATATATACCCCCTTGTTCACTGCAGAGACAAAGTATCGATAGCAGGTAGGTACTGTTTATCTTGAGAGTACTACTGGGTTTTGTTTTAAATGCTAAAAACTAATTGGATAAAATTAAAATTAAATTAAATTAAAAAATAAAATAAGAGACAGCTAAGACTGTGGATACATTGGAAATAACAGTCTGACGTGCTGTTGTGGGCTTAGGCCCACATCAACGGGGTTTAACTGAAATATTCTGCAGAGAGAGGAAAAAACGTATTCAGACAACAGCAGTTCCTTCCAATACAGAGCGTACTTTTCTAACACTAAACATAACCGAGCAGTCTGCCCTGGTTCCCACCTATGGGCATGTCAGATATGGTCCTACCTGGCAGGCACTAGCTTGGACTTTCCACTACCCTTTTCCTAGATAAAATACTGGTGTTACACATCTTAGGACTCATTCTGCTTGAACAGAGAACACTCTGTAATATGGCATAACTGTGGGAAGCTTTTCAGGTCAGAGATGAGTTTTAGCAAGTATTATTTATCAAAAAATGTGTTGGCATATCTAGAGACCAATTAGAAGGTGGCTTATAAACCAAATCCCATAGACTTTAACCTGTGTGGGCTACAGTTACACAAGCTTACTAAAGAAGAGTAAACATTCATCCAAAATGATTTAATTGGTTTAGAAAATAAAATTATCAAAACTAAGACAAGGCTTTTGTCAAGAACTATAAAATTCATTTATTTAACTCTCAAATTATTTTTATTCTATTTTCCTCTCCTTTAAAAGAAAACCCAGAAGCTCATACTTTAAGGAGTGTGAGAAAAGATGGACTGATTCATTATTTAGTGCTGTGAGGAAAAAGAGAATTTATGTCTCCTCTATGTTGAAATATATGCAAATGATAGAACATTTGGAACGTACAAAGTAATAAAAATAAAAATAAGCTGTAATCCTGCCACACCAACATTATTATTTTTATATATCCATATGTATATAAAGTTATAACCACATTATTCATAGAACTATATACTATTCTACTTTATTAATGTAATACTACATTCTAGGTATTGTTCTAAACTATTAGCTCTTATCCTTGAAAACATGATTATATCATTTTCATATAATTATATCAGAATTTATTTACTATCACCTATTTTTGGATAGCCACACTGTTTATAAATATTCACCCTTATAAATAATACTAAGTGAGTATCTTGTTTATAAACCTTTGCATCTCATTAGGATAGATAGATTCCTGGAAGAAGCCAATAATTGTAAATATTTTTATAGTTTTGTTAAATACAGTTATTGTATAAAAAGAACATCCTGTCTGGCCAGTGTGGTTCAGTGGTTGAGCATCGACCCATGCACCAAGAGGTCACTGGTTTGATTCCCGGTCAGGGCACATGCCCAGGTTGTGGGTCTGATCCCCAGTGGGGGGCATGCAGGAGGTGGCTGATCCATGTTCTCTCTTATCAATGTTTCTCTCTCTCTCTCTCTCTCTCCTAAAATCAATAAAGAAAAAAAATATATATAAATATACAGTCGTCCCTCATTTATCGTGGTTAATCAGTTCCAGATTCTACTGTGATAAATGAATTTCTGCAAAGTAGGATTCTTTATTTACTATAGAGTCATCCCTCGCCACTTTGTGCTTTGACGTTTGGGGCTTCATTCTATGGCGTTTTTTTCAAATACTATACTACTGTACCATATTTGAAAAAAACACTGTAGAGTGAAGCCACAAACGTCGAAGCATGAAGTGGTGAGGAACAACTGTAAATAATATTTTTGGTACACACACACACACACAAACTCACTCACTCATGTATATAAAACCCCAGAAGTTAAAAAAACAAACCCAAAACAGTCCTGGCTGGTTTTGCTCAGTGGTTAAAGCGTTGGCCTATAGAACAGAGCTGCAGGTTCGATTCTGGTCAAGGGCATGCAACTTGGTTGTAGCTCGGTCCCAGCCCTGGTCGGGGTCGTGTAGGAGGCAGCCAGTCGATGTGTCTCTCTCACATTGTTATTTCTCTCTCTCTCTCTCTCTCCCTCTGTTACTTCCTCTTACTCTATCTGACGATAAATGGAAAAATATCCTTGGGTGAGGATTAAATAAAACAAAACAAAACAACAACAAAATAGTTTACACAGGAATGGAACTTTCACCTAAAAGTTATATACAATAAGATGTTATCATAAAATCCAAATCAAGCAAATTACAGGCAGGCGCCAAATCTAGACTACCTCCTATTTTTATAAATAAAGTTTTATTAGAACACAGTCATACCCATTTATATGAATTGTTTATTACTGCTTTTGCAATACCAAGGCAGAATTAAGTAATTGTGACAGAGGTAGTATGAGCCACAAAACCTAAAGTATTTACTAATCTGGAGCTTTACACAGAAAGCTTGCTGACCCTTGTCCTAAACTATAAATAAAGTAAAAAAAAAAAAAAAAAAGCAACAATTCTTAATGTTAACACAAGTCAAGCACCATCTGGTTAATTGGACAATACATTGGTGCTATAAATATTGGCTCACTAAGCTTTCACTCCCACACACATACAGAATACGCCATTTTACAATACATAGAAAGTACTCATTTTATACTCGGCCATTTAAAATTCCACTTGGAATTTGAAAGATAATTTGCTGAATGGGTCAGAGCTTTTAATATTGCCCCCAGGTCTTGCTTGCATCTCAGACCACCAGCTTCCTTCTGGCATTCAGTGTCATGCATCAGGTACCAGTAAAAGGGTCATGTCAATTTGAATTAAGGCTCTTGTTTCTTCAAAACCTTCTTGGGGACCTGTATTTCCAACAGTGTCTGTTGATCCACTATATGTGAGGCAGTGATTGAACTATAGTTACCTCCTACCCCATCACAGATTTATTTATTCAGTTGCCAGAGATATCAGGCCTCTAACAATGCCCTCCTAGAAACAAAGTCTCTTTCTTCCAGAACATGTGCTTAATCCTACTCAGAGAATCTATAACACATCCAAGCTGAATGGCCTCTTTATATGCCTAAGAAAAGTTGAAACTCCATAAATTCTGTGTAAATACAGGTAATTTTGTATCAACTTTGATTTCTCAGTAAACAAAGACTGCACTGTTTGTTAACAGATGGAGAGACAGACAAGAAACATAAATTCATAATGAAAACAAAGGGGCAATCATCTCTGCTGTCATCCCTGGAAAACTAGCTGCTTAATGCCCCAAACAAAAGTATGGTTTAATTCCTAAAGGATCATCTAAAATATATATAGCACATATTAGGGATTATAAGTCTTCCATCTTTATTAGATTGAATATAAGATCTTTTTCTTAAAACTCACTGATAATCACACACACACGTGTCACACAACATACCCCATGACAATAACTAAACATTCCGACAGTTTGCTGCCTTCACAGAAAAGAATATACATGGAAAACATTGATAGAAAGTCAAGTAGGTATTACAGAACAGGTACAAAATAACACTAAATACAGAGTATCAGAGAATCCTGGAGCACCCCTACCCTCAGGCATAAAATAGCCATACTGAAGCAGCAAAGGGATGATAGTGAGAAAGGGTGGGGGCCTCTTTTGAGAGAGGATGGGAGGGTGCATAAAATGAAACGCCTGCCAGGCTAAGACTAAGGGCTCCAGCTGTCCCCTAAAAGTCTTTGTCATGTTGCCTCTCCAGCCTGGATCTGGGCGGGGCATGGTTTCAGAGATGACAGCCATCAATTCACAAACCATCCTGAGGCATAAATAGTAGTTTGAAAAGACCTCTGTGATCTCAAGTGTTACA